AATGCGATTAATCTCAACCAAAGCATACATCTTTTTTGCTTCATCCGGGAGCTTCCATGAATCTGCCAATAAGCTATATGTAATTTCCATCAGCTTTTGTTATCATTTTGTGTCTTATATAAATTGAATGAAGAAAATTTAAGATTGAGCTAATAAATGTAAAATAAATATTTAATCAAAACGCATGAGTACCTGTTTCATCATAAATTTTCCTTTTGTTTATTTTCAATATCTTCAGATAGCTTTTTCCAAGTTGCTTCCCAAACAACTTCAGGTTTAGTTAGATTGCCATTAATCAGAAGTGTGGCAAACATATTCCGCAAATAGCTGGGCATTCCCCATATGCTTGCTTCCATGATTCCTTCTATGTACTCGCTATCATCATCCAATAAACCAATAGCATTGCAAGCCTCTTTGAACGATCTGTGAACCGTTCCATCTACTGTTCTTATGTCCTCATAACACTTGGGACCTTTGACATGATTCAACAACATTCTCAGGTAGTAAAGTTCACCAGAAGATGGGGGGACGTGGTGTATTCTGCCAATTGATCGTCCTTTTTTTCTTGGCTGCCATTCTTTTACATCCTGATGCCACACAAACTTTGATGGGAACTCCACGTAGGTGAGTTGTCTGGCTTCTTCATGCACACTATTACAATTCATCCATGATAAAAACTTTGTGTAATTACTGGAAGGTTTGGATATAATATCTTCTATGGACTCATTCTCGTTATAGAAGACGCTCTGATGTTCAGGAAGATGAAAAGGCAACCTTTCAACTGAAGGGTACCTGTAGTGGATATCATACTGAAATATTCTCCATATGGCTTCACAAGCTGATAGATACCTGCAGCTATAATAGTTTTGAATCTCATCAATCGGTTTGTTAAGAAATGCATCCTCCTCACCAATTTTGCAAACGCCGAAGCTGATTCGGTCTGGACCCTTGTTAATATACTTGAAAAGGTATTTGATTGATCTTGACTGATTGCACCATTCTACATTTATGTGTGCCTGCCATTTTTTCAGCAGATACTTGTTGTATCCGACAACATACCTGTTAAGAAAATAGAATTTAATAAAGATAAGAAAGTGTATTTTGAGTCTGTTATTGATAGGAATCTCTAGTACATATATTGCTCACCTGTTGTCCAAAGAGACTTTATTTTTTTCAATTTTTCTCCCATCTTCCCTTCTTCTGTACTTTGCATATCCATCCCCATCTATAATTGTCCTCTCAACATAGCTTTTAGGAAAGTGCTTAGAGCATTCGTTGTCGACCATGCAGGGGCTATTCTTATTTGCATCACCGCAAGGACCATGGACCATGAATTCTTTTACCAGTTCGTAAAGTTCAGGATCTTCTTCTTCGTCTGGTATTTCTGCATCTATCAATCTGTCGATATCCTTAGCTCTCTTTATTTTATCATCAGGATGTAGAAATAGGCACACATGGACATGAGGTAAACCCCGCTTTTGGTACTCAACAGTGTATACTACTGCAAATTTAAATAGGTCACATGTTTTATAGAGGTAGTATGGAGAACATTTAAAGAATATAGACAAATTAAGATTCTAAAATACTTTAAGATATACTGAAAATACCTCCCTGTACGCGACCAAACAACTCTTCATCTTTAAGATCTTTGATGAATATCTCCAGTTTCATTTCAAAAACCCTGCACACTATATCCATTCTATCTTCTGGCTTTAGACCTCTCTGGTTACAGTATCTTGTTATCTCAGGCCACTTAGAATTGCATGTGAAAGTCAAAAATAGGTCAGGAAATCCATAGGCCTTACATAGAGCCATAGCATTTAGGTAATTTTGCATCATGTATCTCGAACCACCCGTGAAAGAAGATGGTAATATAACACGCATTCCCAAAGCAGATGCATCCGTTCTTCCTCCTTCGGATTCCTTCATTATAGTTTGGTAGGATTCGCATCTTATGTCATTTTGGTTATTTTTTATATAAAACAACCTCTCTGACTCAATCATGCTATACCCATCAACTACAAATTGCTGTAGTAATTTTCTTGCTAGCAAAATGAGTGAAAATTCAGTATCTCTTTCTTGTAGCCTGTAAGCAAACCACTCCCTCATGCTCATCCGTATTCGATGATTACTGTCAGCATCTTTAACAATTAAAGGCTTATTCCTTAAGACAATGCCAAGGTGGTATCCATCTTCTCCGAAAGGAAATAACAGTGGGTACTGAAGCGGAATGTAAGATGGGTTTAATTCGTTGATACGTTTCAACTCTCCTGTTTTGTATTGAATTACTATGTCCCTATAATTAGTCTCAACATTGCCATCACCAATTATTAAGGCTGCTATTTCGGAAGCTTCTGGCATGTTGTATTGTCTCCCATCTTTTTTTCTTGTTCCTACAATGACTAATCTAACCTGCTCCTCAATGTTGGCATCAATGGTATCTCTTGCGAGTCTGAAGCTCTTTGCCAATTGGTTATGCTTAGCTATAATTTTTTTTAATTTCTTTACCACTCTCTCATCCAATGAATCTGATTTAGAGCTTGTACCTTTGGAACTGAAATTCATGAAATAATTGGTTAAAAAATTTGGATAAAATAACCACATTTGCTATTCATATAATGCAAATATAGTATGGAAAATTAATACCTGTAAGCAGACATCCTGTTACTAATTTCATTTCCGGTATCGTATATATATAGCTGAGAAAACTTTGGCGATGTTCCAGGTTTAGGAAGCAAGCTGCCTATCCTATGGTAGTTTTGACCATGCATTCTATAACAATAAGGACCTCTACCATTGTTGACTGAGTTATCAATCTTCCCTCCCATGCTAGTAAAAGAATACATCATGTTATATGCCCTAATATTTTCAAGGAAATTTTTTGATAGCCTATGGTTATTAAGCACCAGATTCTTAAGAAAATTTAGGTGGGTCCTTAAGTATAGGCAGTTGGACCTTTCCTTTCATATAACACAATGAAAATTTTGGATTAATTGATTGCCTGTCACCCCTACATCTCTCGGCAAACCACATCTTTGCCCCACAAAATTCACATTTATAATCTGGATCACCAACGTCATAGTAATCTGCAATTGATATTATGATTTTTTGTAATGTGTTATGGTACAAAATTAAGTAATATATCATAATCTTTAGTACATGCATGAAACATAGATACAATTTAATACCTGGTGTAACCTCCAGTTTACTCAACCTGTCAGGGTTCTTTCTGGTTTTAGCCTTCTTTTTGGTATTACCTGGATTTGTGGTATTACCTGGGTTTGACTGAATGCTTATACCATAAGCTGAATTACTTGATTGTATATTCAAACTTGGTTGTTTGTCTCTGTTTTCTTTTCTATTTCTGATGGTGGATGTCACAAAACTGTTTAACAGGTGTTGGTTGTAGGTTTCTGGATGACTGCATTGTTCTTATAGCACTTGCAGCTGAAAAAAACCAGCACAAAATGTGCACATTTATTAAAAGGTGCTGACAATCTGTGAAAGTAATAAATGTATAAGTTTAGAAGAGATATTTATTCGTACCATTTTTTATAGAGCCAGATAGAGATCTTTGCATTGATGTAGAGTAGACTGATCCACCAGGGTATGTAACCATGTTTGTTGACAACCTATTCCAGGCATAAGAGGAAGAGGTATCAGTGTATATTGTGCCAAGTGTTTGTAGATTTGGAGCCTGAAGGAAACATGGAAGCTGCTGAGGATTTTGATTATGAACACGTAGTCTATATTGTTTCTTTGATGCCAATATCAATTTCCTTCTAAACCGCGCGTCTGCAGAAATTTCCTTGTTTGTTGGAGGGAGAATAATGTTCTTCTTGGATAGAATATCGTATTTTCTCTTCATACGTGGTGAAGTAAAATTGTTTGGATCCATGGAAAATAATGTATTTTGGATTCTAGAATACTGGTTGTGTTGATAGTATTTACAATGGACATGGATACATGTGCAATATTTTAGGTGAAATGTGAAAGTCAGGAGGATGAGATTTATTTTCAAGCAATCTGAACAACATGGGAAGATGATTATTTCCTGTATATTTTTGTAGACTTAAATATCGTATATTTCCTGTATATTTATGTAGACTTAAATAATTATTTCCTGTATATTTTTGTACATGGGAAGATGAGATTTATCCAAAGAATATGCAACAAAATGCAAAAAAATCTAGACAATATCTTCTGTAGCCTCTTCAAGATGCTCCCACATTAGATCCGATTTGCTTATCCCGTTGAAGATCTTAACGATCGTCGGGTTTAGCAAATCAGATACAATAACACCCTTTTCTTTAAGCAGCTCCGCATCTTTCACCGTATTGATTAGGCCGCACATGAAATCCATGAACCCGGAAATGACCGCACATGAGAAGTTTATTACTTAATCATATAAACATAACTATTCCCATTAAAGTTAATTTTTCCTGCATTTGTTTGTATTCACATCAAAGTTTGTGGGTTATAACTTTGGTTCGAAAGTAAGTTTGTTTTATTTGAATTAAAATGTAAAAGTAGATTGCACAATTCATGCGATACAAAATTTTTAGGCTATTGAGATTAACCGTGGGGAAAGGAAAACATCAAAATTCCATATATTACCATGACTTTAAATAAATTGGAAGCTGCCAAAAGATCCTCTGTTTTTTAACAAATTTATAGTGCTCCCTATATAAACACTACCAGTTCCAACATATTTGTTGTTCACGTAAACTTAAACTAAGTATTCAAGCGATTGCAACTACAAAATAAGAAATTGGAGGAGAAACCAAGGGGTATTATTTCATTATAGATTTTTAATGAGATCATTTGTCCAAAAGTAAAAGGAATACAAATATTTATAAGGAGCAAACCGTCCAAAAGGAAATAGCAAATGAAATAGGAAAATACATAAACTATAGAATCTCTGGATCATCCTAATATTCAGAAATAAATTATTATGTCCTAAAGCAATAAAATTCCACTTGGAGAGCAAATTTCCAAAATCACTCCTCTGACTCATCATCATCCTCGAGAATTATCTTCCGTTTACGGATATTTGTGGACTGAACACTTGGTGGAGGGTCATTGCATCCTTGTCCCTTTTGTTTATCCATTGAACTACTCTTCATTCTAACTAACTCCTCACTTGTATCGGTATCACCAGATTGTGATACAATGATCTGTATACACAGTAAAGATGTATTAATAACTGTTTTGAGTTCAAATAATTAAATTTTTGTTTATAATACCTTAGGCTCTTCTCCTTTTGCAGCAGTGTTTCCCTTGGGAGTAGCAAGCAATGCAGATGACCCTTCCGGCTTTAATTGCATGGAATAATAATTTGTCGATAAACTCAACTTAGTTACAAAGAAATTTTTCGAATAATAAGAGAACAAAGACTGAAATAAATAAGATAGTGCATATATTACCATTTCTTGTTTATGAATCATCATAAACTCATTGAGAATATCTGGATCATCAGTCATCTTGGCAACCTTTATCCCAGATGAAAAATTGTTGTTGTTGCTTGGTGATATTTCAAGTTTGAACAAACACATTTTGTTCAGCATTGCATCAATTTCCACCGGGTAAGCACCTTTGTCATCCACATCCGGGTTCTACAATTTCATATGTGTCAGATATCAATATACTAATTTACCTTTTCTTATGCTTCAAGTGTAGAATAAATCAGATTTACCTCCAATAGGTTATCAGCCTGTTTTTGCCGGAGTTCCAGCGCAGTTCTATGAATCAAGGTTTTCACATCTTTATCCCATAAGATGAAGGTTGCACACCCAGTGGAATCAATTACACGGACGTTTATCTTAAACCTGTGTATCATTACATAAGGGTAAATTCATTTAGCTTACTGCAAGTAGTATAAGTATTAAAGAAACAGTAAAATTCGGTAAATCATTAGCTCACTTTGGTGCGACAGCAGCTTTGTCATTACTGCAGTTGACACACTTAAACCCGGTGAAAATACCAGTGTTAGTTGCCTTATAACTTTTATGTTTTGCCACGGGACTCATCTTTTGCATGGTTCACATTGCCATCATCACATTCAGCTTTCTCAGCCTTTTTATGACATTTACGGCATGCAATGTAAAACCAATCTCCATTTTGCTTTATGCATGCAATGGTTGCCACGACAACACAAGTAAAAGTCTGCACCATTCATGGATTCTCTATGAACTAAAATGAGTGAAATATCAGATAAAAAAAAAAAAATATGTAGGGGGTAGTTAACCTCTTCCAATTCATATATTTCCTGAAGTGTTTTCCTCTGGACATCCTTCAAGAAATCATCATGTGTTGTTACCGTAGTTTGAGAATCCAGATGGCTGATCCTATTGGATTCACTGTCAAGTCCATCAACAGCAATTATCCTGTATCAGGATGTTCGTTTAAGTCTTGAACATTCGTAACATTTTGTTTATAACTAAAAAAATTCATTAATATGTACTTGATCTAATGTTGTAACGACGTACATTTCCCTATAAGAGTTTATTTCATCAATGTCAAGATTGAGGAAGATCTTGCTGCCAAATTTGGCATTCTGGACGTATCTTCTCTCTGGAAATTTACCATAAGATTGCTTGAAAATGAGTACGGCATATAGTATAATACGATCAAATTACAGTAGGCCATGTAAAGATCATTAATGTGGCAATTAAGTTGTACATTAGGCTTATGAAGATAAGTGTATTTATTGGTTATCCCTTATTCTGCAACTGATAAACATAGATATACACATGAAGTTTTCTAAATCATGCTCACTTGTTGGATTTACTTATGTAGAATATATCTAGTGTCTCCAAAAAGTATAATAACTATAAAATAATGAATACATGACAATTAATTAAGCTTACATTTAACTCAGGTTTGAATGTAAAATTAAACATCAGGTTTCGTATAGAACCAAAATAAAGGGTGTATTTATTAGAAGATACTGCAGCTTATGACCTTTTACAAATAACATTACGTATCTTGATATTCTTTGATGAGTCCAAGCTGCATGGCAAAAATGACACGCCCTACATGAACACCATTCATATAGTCCATAACAGTATCCGCATGGTGATTCCACAGAGTAACCATCAATCTGTTCTTCCTGTCGATAGATTATAGAATGTGTTTTTTTGTAAATAAAGAAAAACATTGATCAAAAAAATAACAAAATCATAATCAATAAGAATGCATTGTAATCCATCTCACTCCAAATCCTCTAATTCAATGTTTAATATCTTTCTATCTGGCCCTTCTTCGATGACGCCTACTCCAACTATCTCACCTATCAGGTCTGAAACAAACAACACATAAGAAAATGGATGACTGACTTTATTTCGGATTCTTATTGATTCAATGTCATACATTCATATACATACCTATGAGATATTCATTACTGATTGGAGTAGTCAATATGTCATTGAAAGGAATAAAGTTAAACGAATATCTCGGTATAGTTTGGATTTCACTATTTTCCACGGTAGTGTTGCGCATGAAGATTATCTTGTAGGCATGCTTGTTCGACCTGTAATTCCCCTTACTTTGGGCCAAGTCGAAGTTGGATATGATCTTTGTAGCGCCTTCTTCCATTAGGCTTTGAAATTTCCATATAAGTTTCTTGGGCACAGATGCCTGGATTTTGTGTCCCTGCAGAATTGTAAAATATTGACATTAATTGAAACAACCTCGGATTATTTTTCTTCAGAACAGTTATCTAAAACTTCAGTAGCAAAATAAAAAATGACAATTCTAACCTCCTCATCGACCAGCAAAGCTTCGATAGATGCAGCATCAGAATAATTTCCATAAATAGGAGTCCAGACATCGAGGATGCGAACTTGGACCCTCCAATCAGATTTAGCAATCATGGGTGTGAGGTCGCCGATGAAGTCGACAATTCCATTGCCGTTTGCGATTGCCATAGCCTGAATTTAATAGAAACTCAAATATTCGTGGTGTGGTCTAATGTGTTTTAAGTGGTGGTGCTTGGAAGTGATGAGAGGACTAGAATTTATACCGGTCTGGCATGTAATGGTGATCTAAAAATTTATCTAAATTACGAAAATATTTTAACAGATGTAAAGATGTAGATCGAATCAAATGTGATTTGAATCAAAACAAACTGATGAATCGTATATTGCCGGACGTATAGGATTTATACCGAATCAAAACAAATAGATTACAGATTTGATTCATTGAAATTAACCACATGGTCTACTTACCCGGGATTTGTTACCCTGAGATTAACAACGTGATTTGATGTTGATGGTTTGAATTAATCCGTCTTCTGTCCATAACGCCTCTCAATGGAACAATCATTCCCGTTGCCAGAGACAGCCAATTTTGGTGTTTGGTCGCGCCGGTGGTATCTTAATTTTAACAGATGTACAGATGTAGATCGAATCAAATGTTACTCGAATCAAAACAAACTGGTGAATACTATATTGCCGAACGTATATGATTTATTCTGAATCAAAACAAATAGATTACAGATTTGATTCATCGAAATTAACCACATTGTCTACTTACCCGGGATTTGTTGCCCTGAGATTAACAATGTGATTTGATGCTGATGGTTTGAATTAATCCGTCTTCTATCCATAACGCCGGTCAATGGAACAATCATTCCCATTGCCGGAGACAGCCAATTTTGGTGTTTGGTCGCGCCGGTGGTATCTTAATTTGTGGGTTCAGGATTTCGGCTAAAAATTTGCCATTTGCTACGTGAATCGTGGGTTAAAAACCTCCCTGTTGCTGCGTGAATTGGGGAATTCCATTGTGAGGTTTTTTTGGTTTTTTTCAAGCTTCAAGGAAGGACTTCTCCTGCAAATACATTAACTTTGTTTTTGGACAAAAAAGGATAAAATTACACTTGGAAAAAAGCTGATGTGGCATACTGAAAATAAAACTTCAAATTCTCTCTCTGGTTTCTCTATTATATATAGTTATAGAAGATATCTAAGCTACACATCTATCTATCTTATATAATAATCTACACTTACACGCAAGATGAGATCAACACTACTTCTTCACTTTTTCAATCTGTCAATCACTTTCATTTTATTTTTTATTTTGTCTTAATTAATTATTATCTATATTTTTCCATAATTTCATAATATTCCTATTTCAACTATATTTATTTACTTATTTACTTTAAAACATGCATTGTTTTTATGGTTCTTCATACTTTAAAATTTCCATTTCTCTTTTTTCGTATTATATTTTTCATTGAAGGAATTGTTATTAATTTTTTAATACTCATTCAAGTTAAAATATTACCTATTCTACTAATCTATAACAACATGCAACATCACATCATTATCGGTTCCTCGATTCTTTCCATAATCAACATAATCTGAAAAAAATATTTAGGATTTCTACTCATTGACTTTTACAGTAAAAAATAATAATAATAATTTTGTATCGATCAACCTAGAATCATCATCACAGTTATACCTAGGTCTCTATTAATTTTATACACTTACACACAACATCACGTCAACATTAATTCTTCACCTTTTATTATTTTTTCAAAACTGTCAATCAGTTGCTCTTTTTTTATTTTAAAATTTTTTCATTAATCTGTATTTATATTTTCTCCATAAATACTGATTCTTCTTTCATCTATATTTTGTCCATTCTTCATCTTTGACGTTTGCTTTGGTTTCTTTGTTTTCTCTTCTAAAGTAAAGTCTTCCTTTTTCCTGCGGTTTTCACACATCTGATTCTCCATTTCAATTAGTTAATAATCTTATTCTTTCTATTTCTGTATTGTATCTTTTGCATGGTTTTTTTGTTTTCACCTTTAAGAAGAAAAATATTTTGTTTATTTTTCCGGCGATTATTTTGTATATTTCTTCTTATCTTCCACTGCTTCTCCTTCACTCCTTATCATCCTTACGTTTGGATCAACTCCGTCTTGAAAAAGCCAGGTACGGTATATTTCTACTACGTCAATTTTGTCATTTTTTTTTCTTTTTGTGGTTTTGAGTTTTAATATATTTATAATTATTTTTCTAGTTACTTTGGTAAAAATAATGACTAAAACTTCTATCTCATCTTATTTTCCAGTGACGTTAATATGTCTTTTTTATTCAAAATGATATTTACACTTCCAGAAGAGTTTGATGATTATTTCATGGTAAGACATTGATCAATTCATGATTCGTGATAAATCTTTTTTTTTATAAGAAAAAAATTATTTATATTATGTATTTTGTTTTTTGAATTTCAGAGACTTCCAAATGCAGTCTATGAGTATTTTAAAGAATCGATTCCTCCGTATCTTAAGATTCGAACAGACGTTGGAGAATTTTTTCTTCAACTTAGTTTAGTTGAGAATGATGAAGTTATTATCTCTGGTAATAGATTTATTAATTTTACTCTAAATGTGCAAATTACAAAAAGGAGTAGATTGCACTTGGAATTTTTTGATGGTTACGTCATTTATTCAACTTCTTTTTGGGGTCATGGATTTCATAAAATCATGTCACATCCTTTCAATCCAGTCAGTTTGAAGGCCATTTTAACTGTTCAACGTTGGGATCTCATTTGTAGTGGACTGACTATAAGTTTTATTTTCTATAAATTTAATTGTTATTTTAATCGTGTAAAACATGATTAGGGTAGTGTTGTAAAATATTTGCACCTATTAATTTTGGACTAATTTGTTTTACATATAGTTAAAGTTATGACGGTCCCTAGAGATGCCCGCCGCTGCCTGCTGCTTCCGCCGCCGGCCGCTTGGCTCCTTGCTACTGCTGGCGCGCTGCTGTTGTTGATCTGTGCAATCGGATCTCCCTATCCGCGCTAGTGACGCTGGTTCCTGCTCCTCCCTCTCCGCCTTGAGAAGCCTCCGCTGAATCTCCCTGCCACTCATCACCAAAACCTTCTCCTCCCCACCATCCCCGAATCAACCTCAGCCTTCCTGGAACCCTTAGCCCTTAACCCACTTCCCCGGCCTCCATCAGAAGCCTCATCCCTACAAAGATCATCCCTAGCCGCCCTTAGCCTTCCCCTTAATTGAACTCCACCCCATACCTAAAGTCGCCGCCACAACTAATCCCTATTCGTGCCGCTGCCGCTGACCCCTCTGCCGCTGCTTTGATTGCCGCCGCTGTGTTGTTGGCTGATAAGGTTGTCACTCCCCCGGCGATGCATTAAGATTTGACGCCGGCTCTCATGACAGGTGCGGTTGCTACCACTGGCCAGCCCCCAACTTTTGCTAGTCTCTTCAAAAAGCCTAATGCTTTGAAGTTTGTAGACCCCGTAAACATCAAGCCTATGTTTTGGAGCTTGAAGACGATGAATTTGAAAAACTGGTTGCTCCTCATCGGCTTAGCCTCGTAGCAAAATTTTTCTATGGCCGGCCAAAGATGGAAGATACTAGAGTAGAATTTAGGAAAATTGGTTTTAAGGGCGACTACGATCTTGGATTGATGAATCCTCGCTATGTATGGATCCGCTTTGAGCAAGAAGAGGATTACCAACGTTGTCTTTTTGGATTATATCGGGGTTTCAGATGAGAATACTCAAGTGGATGCCAGACTTCAAATTTGAGGTGGAACCCCCGATCGTTCCGATTTGAGTTTCCCTCCATGAACTACCGCTTGAATACATGAATCCGGATATAGTTTCAAGTTGACACCCCCATCTTGAATTTTACGCGGCCATTGGTAGCTCGCTTTTGTGTTGAAGTCGATTTGACAAGGGACCTCCTAAAGTCAATCAGAATTGGAAAAAAGGGCATGAAACATGAGCAGTTTTTCACTTATGAACATATACCATCTTATTGTTCAGAATGCTGCAAGATTGGCCGTAAGAGTATTGATTGTAGACAAGGAAAACCTGCAAAGGACACGGAAAAAATTGATCAGGCTAAGAGCAAGGAGAGGCCGCTACAAAAAGGCGATGAAGGAAAAGTAATTCTTGGGCAGTTGAAATTGAAACAACAAAGCCGTGTGGATAAAGTGACTATAGATATTTTAGATGGCTCAAAGAATAACGAAGGAGATGAGGAATCCTCTTTATAAGTGCAAATCTTGAAAGAATATCCTCTAATAGTTAAGGCCATAAAAGTGTAACCGTCGCAAGTGAAAATTCAACAAAAGGTGCAAATGGGGGAGCGTATCAAGGATTCGACGTAGGGGTTGACTGCAAAGGAGAAGAATGATACTATGGTTGATGTCTAGGATAACTCAAGTCTTTTTGTGAAATCTGTGCCAAAGTCTGGAAAAGTTGCTGATAAAGAAAATGTCAATTACAAAAGCCCAAATAAATTTGAGGCTCTACAAGTCATTGATAATGATGAGGCTATTCTGTTGGATGATAATGATGATGATGTAGAGAATGTCTTTATTGAGGGGCTCATAGAAAATAAGACTGTAATTAAGGATGTTCAAAAGGAGGAAAACAGAAGCAGTGTGCAAAACAATTAGTTGTTTTTGACCCAGTTTTATGCAGATGCGATTGATGAGAATGCTAGTGAGTCTATGCGCAAACATGGTGATCCAGATGAGGGTTTATTAGCACACTGAAACAGTAAACGCAAGAAAATCATTTTAAGAAAACATGGAGAATTTTAAGAAAATCATTGTTCAAGTTGCTAGAGGAGAAAAGCCTGATTTTATCTCGGCTCGTAAGCAACGGAAAAAGCCTAGTGCTATGGTGAATCCGAGACTACGACACTCGGAAAAAATAACTTATGTTAGATATAGATCTTTGAGTCTATTTTTTTTTTTCAAAATTTTTAGTTGCATTGTAAAATGTGGTAAGTTTTACACACTGCCACTTTCTTTGTTTTCTTTATATCAGATAAATAAAATTGGTGCACTCGTCAGACTTTGCCTGTTTTGCTTAAAAAATATATATAGTTAAAGTTATGAAATGATAGAGTTTCGTTTATTAAATTTAATGTAGATATGTTATCAGATGATTATTTTAAGTCACTTAATTTCTCATAATTATTTTCAAGTATTTTCCGTTGTTTTTTTGGATGCAATTAAGTTCCCTAAAACCAAAATGTCTTTGTTGAGTTAGAAGATCAAATTCTGGAATTTGAGTGATACTCTGATAAAGATGGAATAAGCGTGTTTTTTGGGAAAAAAAAATGGGCCAAATTCGTGATATACTATGAGCTACACAAAACTGAACGCATAGTGTTGCTTATTTATGTTCATAGATGCACTTTTCAAGTAACTATTTACGATAAATATGGTTTTAATATTTATAGTTTAAATGGCTCTTCAGAAGATGATGCTAATCTTAAAATGATGGTGAAAACTATTGATTGTAGTTAATAAGTATTTATTAATTTAAATATAGTGTAATATTATCGAATTTTTGGTTTAGTTTCAGTTCATTTTTATTATCATATGTTGTTCGAGCATTCAATCCTATCATGTTTGTTTCTATCTTCTTCTTTTACTATAACGTGAAACAAAAATCTTTAAATATTTTTTATAATAAAATTGGAATAACTAATCTTAGTTACACATATTGTAAATCATGGTATTTTATAAAAAGAAATAATATGAATCGGTGAATTTCAAATATAATTTACCATTGGGATTACTTTTAATATATATTTATATTACTCTATACTTTTAATATCGAATCCATAAACTACAAAATTATATGAATTGGTTTCATGTTAAACGATTTATGTTCTGGTTCTACATTCTTCGTGTACCTTCTATCATAAGCTAATAAGATACTTTTGTCTGTCAAATCAATTTATTTGTAATAGGACTTTTAATGGAGTAAACAGTATTTTTGTTACAGTTTATTGAATCATGCTGTTATTACATTCTATATATTATCCTAACTAAAATTCTAGATAAGATCCCTTAAATTATTGATACAAATGAATCCCATAACTATTGATCCAAATGAATACACAAACATCTCATTAATTAAAAGTCATGATTTCTTTCCATAAATTTTTATATTTTCACAGTAACTCTTATTTAATTTTACTTCAACTACCTCTATTATTTTTTCTCTTTTTTTTAGTCCTCCAAATTGTTTCTTCCATTTATTCAAGTGTTTTCCATCTTTTGCTCGGTCTGTTTGAAATTATTGGAATCAAACCACTCAATAATAAAAAAAATATAAAAAAATAAAAAAAATAAAAAAATAAAAAGGCGTGTAGAAAAATGTTGATTTCAAATTCGAGTTTTTGTATTTAGATACGATGATCGAGAATTTTAATTTATCACTATATTATATAAATAAATTTAAATTTAATTGTAATAGAATGTGATAATTATCGTATAAGTAGAATACCTATAAAAATTATGTTTTAGTTTGATCATTAAAATATCCTTATTGCACTTTTTTCTCAATTCCAATTTAAAAAGTTATAAATATCCATTCCCTTTTACTGTACATACTACATTCCCTTTCATTGTTTTACTGCAACATAATCTAATTTAAATCAAAACATTGTACTCCATTTAAAATAAACGATAATGTTCAGTTCCGTTTATTCAGTATTATAGTTAATTGTTAGATGCTAATTGTTTCGAAAAGTTTTAAGTATGGACACCATAATTTTAGCACCACATGTATAATTTTTAGATTCAACTTTTGAAAATCAATTTTAAAGATATTAACTATGAAATAAAGGAAAGATAAAATTAAATTTCTATATTATGCCCTGTTTTTTTAATCTTAATTTTATTCAAAAGATAAAAAAGTTGTTGTTACATTTTTTTTTTTTTGATTAAAAACCAGGTCCGAACCTAGCAAATTTATAAATAAAGAGAAATAATATCAAAGCAGTGCTTAAAACTTACCCTGTACAATAAAAAGTTCATCATATAATGACGAAACTATAAATATCAGTACAAAACTGATATTTTCAAAAGAATCTAATAAAAAATACATGAGTTACATATGATGTAGGGTTTTTATTTTGGTACCCGGAGCTATTTTCCAGTAACCCTTGTATAAAAGACAACAGATTTATTCCCCAGTCAACATAATTCGCTTCTATAAGATCACAAATCTGAACTGCCGCATTTGGTGAACATATGGAGTATCCAGACCTGTGAAGGAGACAGAATATTGTTGTTCTTCAAATAGAGTCACCAAAATATAATTCATCAATTACCGCAATTTAACCGGACATTTCAATAACTGCGTAATCCAATTGGAATATTTAAAAGAAATCGACAAACCAGTGAGAACCGGTCTGTTAATTATAACCGAACCAGAGGATGGCCGGTTCAATATTGAAAGCGGTTTGGTGGCCCGATTCTCTGTGAATCTCCAGTGTCGTCCAGTTTGGGTCCTGGTCTTGCGCGTGACACCGGATCGACGCCGGTTTGACTCCGCAGCAATAGGTCAGTGCTAGCCACTGCACCGGACCATAGGAGCCATAGGCAGCCGCCTCTGGGGCACCTTCAGATCTGGAGGTGACGGATCTGCACCCATCAACATAGGTGGTGTGGTGCGGTGGCGGCGTGGCTGACCGGCAGAGCCGCAAGCTAGCACCGAGGAAAATCAGAGGGGTGGTGGAGTCAGAGAGACCGCCGCCTTGGAACCTTCAGATCTGGAGGGGATCTTCGCAGAAAGGGTACTGGGATTGAGCCAATCGGAGCAGCTCTGTTCTTGGACTTTGCAGCAGCGCCGGACGAAGCAGCGCCAGCGGACAGGCGGTGGAAGCAGATCAGCAATGCCTGTAGTCAGATCTCAAGCATAGAGCTTCGATCTGCAGCTGACAACACAGCTGAGTGACGGCTGAACGCAGCCACCGGCTGGTCTTCTGTCGCAGGTACGCCGGCGGACGTTGGAGCGGGGTAGCCGCTGAAGATTGTAGTTGCTAGCTATAGAGCCAGTTTTTAGGAAAAACATAGATGGCCATTACAGGCCTAATGTGAGCAGTAGCATCCGTAAAGAAAAAACAGAAAAAATAATAAAAGAAAATAAAGAAATTTGATTCGGTGAGTGTAGTTAGAGAGAAGGGGGAGGAAATTTTTTTAAGAAGTTGTTAAATTTTAAAACTTTTTATCTTGCAAATTTTATTCTGATAAGTTGTCCCCAAATTTAACAATAAAAAAAATTTCAAATCACTTTTATTAATATGATAAGATAATAGGATCTTTTAAAATTTGAATTCACTCCATATTTCAAAATACTCAATATGCATTGCATTATAAATATTGGAGTTATTTCTTGATCGAATTCCATAGTCAAACTTTCTTTCCTATTATTAAAAGTAAAAAAAAAAAATATCAATGGCTTCAAGCTATGATATGTTGGACAAACTTGACTGTTCACGTAAAATTGGATAGAATGTGAGGGTTCGTGTTTTGAGAGCTTGGAGGAAGATGGAATTCAACAATCCAAATGAGCCTTACATGGTGGAGTGCAGTTTGCTGGATGAAAAGGTATTACTTATTATTTAATTAGTTTATGATTTTATTGGGTTAGATTACTTTTATTTTTTTTGTTAATATTTACAGATAAACAACGAATTTATTATTATGTGAATTATTTTTTTGAAGGGTAATAGAGCAGTGGCACAAGTTAGGAAGGAACTTATTTATATGTTCGAAAGAAGCTTGAAAGAAGGGGAATACAAACAAATAAGAAATTTTGGCACTGCTGTTGACAAAGATTTTCATCGGTTCTGCAACAATGATTACAAGATAATATTCAAACGCAATACAAGAGGTTTGATGTCGAGAAATTTCCTACTGGTGAAGCATGAGGGAAATATGGTTTCCGCTTTGCAAAGTTCTCCGACATAATCGAAATGAAGTTAGATGAAGTTTTTTTAATTGGTACTTTTAAATTCAATTTTTATTGATTATGTGTTGGAGTTTTATATGATTAAAGTTCGTTTTTTTGCATTATTCATAGATGTAATTGGTGAAGTACGTGCCATTAGTTTAAGCAAACTGTTAATATCAAAGAAGTTGACAAGGATTTGTTGGACGTTGAGCTGCATGATTTAGAGTAACATTTTTTTTCTATTCATTTTAATATTATATTTGATATTTTCGTTATTGATTATATTTGGGTGAAATAACCATTTATGCTAATCGTTCTACATCGGAAATTCTATCATTTGTACCTTGTGGAGAGAACCTGGTTATATTATGTTAGATCATTGTGCACAAAACGAATCGGCTGGCGCTGTTGCTGTTATTATGCATGTCAAAATTGGAGAATTTCAGGGTTATATTGTCGTCTCCTTTAATTTATTGTTATATTCTTTTAATCAATTTTTCGGGAAGATAATTAACTTTTTCTTTCAGACAAGAAAAAGCGTAGTAATAACTATTCTGTGACAAAAATATGGCTTGACGATGAAACTATTGATGAAATTTGCGATTTCAAAGACAAGTAATGATGTTTTCTTATAATTTTTTTATTATATTGCCTTTTACAGTCATGTATTGTTTTAATTTTAAAAAATATCAGACTAATTTTATTTTTACATTGTGTATTTAATTTTTGCAGGTTGATTAAAAGTGATAAATTTGATTCATCTAGAAAGATATCTACACTTTCTGTTTCAACGTCTTCTTTTGTTCCGGAGGACATATTAAAATGTGAAAGGAAGGATATTGGGGACATTAAGTTTGTGATGAAAGTACGTTTTTATTTATTATTTTATATGGTTTATTATTTTTTAAATAAATTAAATTTAGTCAGAATCGCAAATTACCTTTGTGCAGCCGATCAGTGATTTGGTTTGTAAGGCCAAACTAGCTGGCATTGATGGTACCAAAGGATGAAATTATCTCTGTTGCCCTAGGTGCCACAAGAAGGTGCAAGAGATTCTTGTACCTAAGATCAAACTCAAGGATGAAACAATTGATGCTAAGAACGGCGATAATAATACTGGCTCGGTTTACTATCGTTGTAACGATGTATGTGGCAAAGTTGTGCCGAATGTAACTCCAAGCTAAACATTTAACCACTTCTTATTGACAATTGTTTTATTATTTTTTTAATTACGTTATTTTTTAATTTACAGGTTCAAAGTTTTTGTTACACTTTGGATCGAACAGACAAGCATGATTTTGTGCTGTTTGATCGTGATGTTGGGAATATTCTGAAGATAACGTGCAAAGATCTCATGGAAAAAGAGTCCGATGTAATTTTAAAGTTCATTACTCAATCAATTTGTTTGTTAGTTAATTTTATTGGTTCACTCATACTTCATTCTTATTAATACAGTGACAGGTGAAGGATCCCGAAGATGATGAAATTCCGGAACAATTGTACCAGTTGGTGGGAAAAACAGGATTGTTCAAATTTGATGTAACTATCAAAAATATTGGCAAAGAACGATATACCTTGGGAATAAGGCGTATGGAAACCGATCTTGATATTATCAAACGTTTCTCTAATGCTTCGATATATGTTACAGTAGAAATTATGTTTTACTAATTTATTTTTATATATTTGTATTCTTAATCCGTTTGCCTTAAAATTTATATAATCTTGATACAGGATGATGATTGTGAAATTCATTCATCTGATGAAGGATTTTTAGGTTCTCAATCTGTTAACTCAAACATGCCTAAGGTTGGTTCGAAATTTGGTTGCATTCAAATTTATCTTTTATGTGCTTTTATTGTATTTCTAAAAGTTTGAATATATATATATATATACTTTTTCAGATTTTTCATTCTTCAACCGTCAGTGGTGAGATATACTATGAATACATGGAGAAAAGCGTCGATAATACGAACAAAAAACGGAAGTTTGATTCTTCATCTTTGGTTATGTCTTCCTCTGATTCTACTAGTGTTTCACCTTCTGAACAAGACAACAATATTATGGAGTGATACTTGATTATGAAACGCAACTTGGAAGTGATTGGAAGAAACACGTTGTTTATTTCTTTTTACTGTTATTTCAGTCCAATAAAACATGTTTCTACTTTTTTAGAAACTTGTGCGTGTAACAGTATAAACTATCTTTTGCACGTTTTGAACAAATTATGTGTGTAGGCGTTATGTTTATTTTTATGTGATGCTTTTTTGGAAGTTTTATGAAATAATAAGTGGTTTTTTTTTCTTTTTGCTTGCAAATTTTTAATTAATTATTCCTTATTTTTGTTTTTTCTTTTTACTTGCAATTAATAATTTTGTACATTTTTTTTATTTACGCGTTCATTTTTTATGAAAAACAAGAAATAAACAAAGATTTAAATAATTTAAAATATGGTTGATATTAATCTATTACTGATTTAGAAATTATGAAGGTATTTTTTCCACTACCCTTATAAGAAATAAATTATACAAAAATTAATCGATATTGATTTTACTCATTCATGCATTCATTTTTGTTGGTGATTCTAATAACATTGTTATTTTATAAACTGAATAAATTTGTGCAAAGCATAATTTTGTGAATTTACTAACAATAGCAATTTTAAGGAGACTACGTTTTTTCTTTTTTCAAAACCATTGATGTTGGAGTATTTGTATGATTTTCTATTATTGAAGATATTTGTTTTTTACAAATTTATCTTGAGTTCAATTAAATGACCAGTTTTTTTTTTTTCTTTTCTTACATATCACTATTATGATGAAAAGTATATAAAATTTACACATATATGATATGAAAATTAATAATTGTATTATATAAGTAAGTTCTTTATATGATTTCATCGGAAGTTATGTAGTTATTAAGTAATAAGTTTTACTGTTAAAGAATCTTATTCTATCTAGGATATTATTCTATCATCTATTTGAAAGAATCGTATTTCAATATCATACTATGCGCAATAATTATCTCTTATAAAAAATTCTGTTTTCTTTTTAATTGAATTAAAGAATGTTCAGTCGTAAAAGGACTCTAATACTAATTAAAATGAAGGTTACGGTTGTTAACAGATTACGTATTTTTAAAATTCAAAAGAAATAGTGAAGATAACACATAATAAGGCGTTCAGTATTTATAGAAGCAAAAAACAATCTAAGTTGATTTGATTAGCTCTCTTTTTACACTTTTTGTGTTCTCTGCTCTCTTATTTTCTTTATTCTTCAATCGTAAGAATGAGTGTTTATAGTGAGATTATAACGATTCCAAGTTCTTATGCCAAATCTGGTTTGGTAAGTTTTAATTTTTATTGTTTATTTTTATTTTAAAATGACTAAATCATGCGATATCTATATCTTAATTCTTTCGTATTAGATGTAATCTTTGTTTTATTTGTTACAGGTTTTGGGTAATGGTTTAGCCAAGCATTTTGACGGTAAACATATCCATAAACAGCTGATAGTATGGTGTCCCGACGATAAAAATCACTTCATAGATATGTACATCAACCAAAATGGTCGTACTCACCTTTATGGACCGACACTCGGAAATTTTTTAGAAAAATCTGGAATTCGTCCATACCACACTATACTGTTGTTTTACAATCGAGAAGGCTATCTGAATCTTTATCAATTTGGTTCTTTTGGTTTGGAACGTCGCAGATCGGATACTCAATCCTCATCAGGGGTCGTTTTATGTTGGAAATGAAGCATGAGTACTTAACATTTGGTGTAAGTATTTATTTTGAAAGTTATTAGCATATTATTTTGCTTATCTTTGATTTTGTATTAAATTGTTTGATTATTTAAAGATACTATATTCTTACATTTTTTCGGAATATTAAAATTTTTTAATATTTATTTTGAAACTATTTAATATTTTCTTAAATCATTGTATTTTCAGCATATCCGGAAGGAATATTTCAATCGATGTGATGGGCCTAGGTTGAAAGAAACTGCAATTGTCTGTGATGATGAAGATCAGGTTCATTCCTTCGAAGTTGTTCGAATTAAAGGTGATATAGTCGGGTTTTTGGGAAAAGTTTAGAAAAGTTTTGCAAGTTGCTACTATTTTCAGTATGGTTGCAGGTTTTTGACTTTGAACACAGTATGGGTGGTTTTTTCACAATGAAAAGTTTTGATAAATATGGTATTCCGTGGCAACGGTCATTCTCACAAAGGGAATTGGAAAAGGGTATCTTTTATATTCTACTTATGTAATTATTTAGAAGATGTATAAAAATTTTTTTTGGAATTTATTATTTGCCTCTTATATTCTTAGGTAAAAATGCGGTGGTATATCTTCTTAATATGAATACTCCAGACTATGATTCTTTTGAATGTATAATGAATGATGATGTGCTTGAATCGGGAGGTGGAGGAATTATTGTGAGTTGTATTTTTCAAATTATAGTTTTTTTATTCAACTGTTAATAATTTTCATAATCTTTATTTTGAATAAGATTGCTGTTTAATATATGATTATACGTTAATTTTTTTTTTTAGGATTCCTTATGAAGTGATTGAAAGATTTTGACTTAGTGACTGTGAGGATGTTGTTTTATATTTTGATGGAGCTTCGAGTTGGGTATTGGTTTGTAAGAAAACTATGGATAACAAATTCATAGTTGAGGGAGAGCTAAATGGGTTTTTGGCGTAGAAGAATATTCCAAAGGGCATGAAATTGATTTTCCAGATCAACGTAGAGAGATCAATAGATGAACGGATGATTATTATTAATGTTATATGATATAATTGTCTTATTTGTGTTATAATCGTAGTTCTACAATATCCTATATGGTTGTCGTACAATAAATTTAGTTTTTGGAAGTTTAAAAAGTTGTTCTATTGTAAGCAAACAATATGTTTTGAGTTTTTTTGTTCCATTTCAATTTATCATTGTTATAGATATCGTTTTATGTAATTTTTTATTTATGGATTTTTTTAGATATTTCTTCAATTAATATTTTATTATGACTTTGGAAATGTAAGGAATAAAGTAATTAAACAGTAATAGAGTAATCAAACAATAAATTTAATATATTTTTTGAAATTTTAATATTTTTAAAATGTAATTTAGATTAACATATTAATTGAAGTATTTATATCACTCTTTAAAGATCTTATATTAATATATAATAGAATAATCAAATA